TTTTGTCAAGAAGTGTAAAGTTGTGGGCAGTTCTTGGAGGGGGCCTATTGTTAGCCAAGTCTACATCACCCTCTCTCTTTTACTTTTAGGAGAGAGGGCCTAAATTCATAGGGTTATTTTAGGTCAATGAACATTTTGCTAATAATTACTAATAATATGCCAATTGTTGTAGAGCTTGTGATTAGGTGGAAAAAAAAAGGGGCCAACTTTTTCTAACTTCAGGACCCCACCATCGTTCATAATATTTTTTCCCCTAAAATTGATGTCGTGGTTTATGCTATGAATCTCTGTGATCTAAATTTATTATGTGGACTTATCATTACTGTGACCACCAGAGGAGCCCTCTTGATTTTGGATTCTTGTCAAGGATCTTTTAAGATATGAATCATAAGAGTATGGTCCAAAAATTTTCAAGTAGTTTTAATATATTTCAACTCAGTTTTAGGGAGTGATTGTTTTTAATTTCATAATCATATGGAAGTTTTTTTTGGGTTAAAAATACTAATCTTTGAAGTTTTTTTCAATTTCGTTCGCTAGCAAGTTCACAATGTTGTCCTTAATATATTAAAAAATTTCAAATAAATCCTTGATCATAAAGCTAATGAGTCACTGAATTATTATTTTAATAACATCAAACATGTTTGGACGTGGTATGCCACATGAAACATATTAATTACTTGAAAAAAATGATAATTTTAATTTGTAGATTAGATTTTGTTCATGAACAAATTAAGTTTCATGTGTCAAGTAGCATTCGAGAGGCATGTTCACGTATCTAAATATGTTAATAAAACAATAATTTAATGATTTATCAATTTTTAATCAACAAAATTTGAAAAAAAAAACACAGAGACCACGTCATAGATTCAACATTTTTGCTTGTAACATTTATATGAATATTATTATTAAGTATTGGAGGGGTGGAGATAATGAGACTAAGAATAAAAATTTTAAGAATATAACCCGTGAGTTGAAACTCAAACTTTCAACATTAGCGACGTGTTAATTATTTATTAGGTTGAAAATGAAACTAAATACTTGAATAATTTATATTTATGGGTTTTTTTTTTCCTGCATAATTAATGTTGGAAGAAGTGAAGAAGAAGCCAGATTTTGATGAAAATAGAAAATGGAACTTTCAAAGGGAAAGAGAAATAAATTTGGTGAATGAAATTACCCGTGAATCCAATTATGCGGCTAATAGAATAAGTGCTGCATTGCACGTGAACTTGGGAGCATATAATTTAATTTATAATACCTATTTTTAGTAGGGTTGCATAAATCCATTCAAAACAAGATTTTTAAATTCCAATGTTTACCCTTTCAACTTGGAAGTCATGAGAAAAATTGGTCCAATTTAACAAAAACTAAACCTACCTATTATAGAATAGCCAAAAAAAAAAAAAAAAAAAAAGATGGCTCCAACCAATTTTTCATTATATCACTTACCAACTATGCATTTAATATTTAAGATATTGTCCACTTGAATCTTTGCTAATAAAGTTGATGTTTAAATGTCATTATCTTGAGATCACTGGGTCTGGTCCTGTAAAATCCATCCTCAATTTTATCTTCAAAAACAAATATGAGGCCTTGTCGACTTCATTAATGAGTTTTTCCTAACCAACCTACTAAGCTACGTGATTATCAATTATGCCCTCATCAATAATGGGTTTACCAAATCTACCCCTTTCTATGCTCACATTATTATTACTTTTTTATTGAATATTGTATCTAATTAAAAATTTTAGAAATTTGTATCAAAATATCAATAGCTGTGGAGGATAAATCTGTAAATTTGAGTTAGTTTTGACATGTCGTCAATCTTAAAGAATAATTGTGAAAAATGGGGGAAAAAAAAGGATACCGCAAATCTCAACCAGCCAAATTTATGGACCGAATTGGTTAAAGGGAGCTTTTGGGGCAAACTTAAGGCCCATATGTTGGATTGGAGTCCATTTATCGGCCCAAAATGAATTGCTTGTTCCATCCAGCCCAACCCAACACACTGGAAACGGCCGATTTTTCTTTTTTTATAATTATTTAAATAATTGGGATCTATTTATTATTAATTTGGGATCGTATGATCCGCGAGGTCAAAGTGTCGAGGGGCTGTCCCTCGCCCACGCCGGCGAAGCTTTGACTCTTCTTCTGGTGTGGGTTTTATCAAATTTATACTTATATATGCTCCGATCTCAATCTCCGAATTTCTCCTCCATTTCCGGTGAGAGAAGAGCGAAAGCCGAGATTTGCAGCCATGGAAGCCAGACTCTCCGCCGCTCTCGGCCTTCCCTCGCCGGATCCCCTTTGCTGCTATCCTTCTCCTTCCGAATTCCCCACTCTTTTCTCTCACTTCAATTCACTTCTATCGCCTCCCAACTCCGCCGTCCATGCCGGAACTAGAGCCTCCAAAGATCGGAATCACATTCCTCCTCTTTCGTTTTCTTCATTGTCCTTATCGTCCTCCGAGGCGCAAGTTTTCACCCCCAAATCCCCCAATTGGTTCAAACCCGCCTCCAAAAACAGCCCCAAAATACAATCCCTTATGAAGAACTTGTCCGTTCTCGAACGGGCAGTCGTCGGCGCTGCTGGTGGCGCCATGGCTGGCGCCTTCACTTACGTGTGTCTCCTTCCACTCGACACCATTAAGACCAAGCTCCAGACAAAAGGGGCATCGGAGATTTACAAGAGTACATTCGACGCTGTCGTCAAGACCTTTCAATCCAGAGGTATTCTAGGGTTTTACAGCGGCGTCTCTGCCGTAATCGTCGGCTCGGCCGCTTCCTCGGCCGTTTATTTCGGGACATGTGAGTTTGGAAAATCGATTCTGTCGAAATTTGATTACCCATCTCTGCTCATTCCTCCGACCGCCGGGGCCATGGGAAATATCATCTCCTCGGCTATAATGGTGCCGAAGGAATTAATCACCCAGAGAATGCAGATTGGAGCTCAAGGAAGGTCTTGGCAGGTTTTGATTCGGATTCTGGAGAAAGATGGTATAATGGGTCTTTATGCTGGTTATTTTGCCACATTGCTAAGGAACTTACCAGCTGGGGTTTTGAGTTACTCTTCATTTGAGTATCTGAAAGCTGCAGTTCTGAGCAAGACAAACAGCAATAATCTTGAACCGATTCAGAGTGTTTGCTGCGGGGCATTGGCAGGTGCAATTTCGGCTACTCTTACTACACCTCTTGATGTGGTAAAGACACGGTTGATGACTCAAGTTCAAGGGGAGGCTGTAAATAAAGTTTCAGCTGCAATGTACAGTGGAGTATCTGCTACGATCCAGCAAATATTGCAGGAGGAGGGGTGGATTGGATTAACCCGCGGCATGGGGCCTCGAGTTCTTCACAGCGCCTGCTTTGCGGCGATCGGGTACTTCGCTTTCGAGACAGCGAAACTTTCCATCTTGCACCATTATCTTAGACAGAAGGAGGCTTCGGAGTTAACTGCTTCAGCTGCAACTTGATCGAGTTATATATCTCAGGTGTCATTCGGTATCTCGTCCTTGTGTTCCCTTTCCCCTTTCCCTGTTGATGAGCTCCTGTAACTGTGATGAATGCTTAGTTTAACAGAAAAATATGGGACTTTTTGCATCAGCTGTGTTAAGACTTTTTTGACCAAGTAAAGAACACAAGTACACCTTCACATTTTTGGAGTCTTTCCTTTTTTTTTATTTGCACTTTGTACCATTTTCATCCCGGACAAAGCAAGGGCCCATAAAACCTCGAAAACCTGATTTGACCAAGTAAACAAAACATCAGAGCCATCATCTTTCTGAGCAAGGATACGAGAGATGATGATCCAATTCTCCATCGCTACTACACTCATGACTCAACTCACAAGCAAACGTTTTTGACTTTTTGTCAAGCACTTTATATTGCTCCGAAAGTAGAATTTTTTTGGTGGGAACTGGTTTTGGTTTTTACAAAAGTGCTTTTAGCTACCCGCAAACATAGCCTTTGATTTTAAATGAGTCTTGTATGGATCAAATTTCAATCCCCTGTGCCAGCATCCCAGCAATCACTACTATCCCAGAAAGGATACGAGACATGATTGACTCTCTGATATGTTTCCCTCTCCTTTTCCATATTCCAATTAACAATCTTTTAGTGTTAGGTGTTATTATTTTCATTCCAACTCTCTGTGAAAGCCTGGATTACTGGAAGAAGTTTGAGTTGCATATTTAAACTATACGCAACCACAAAGCCCTCTTTCTTACTCTTTGAGTCAACGAGGGAAAATCATGGTCAGTGTAGAACAAAGAAGTCAAAACTTTTCTGCAGTAGAGATAGAGTTATACTAGAAGGATAGCATTTTACGAGCATGGCATTCTCGGGCGACAAGACCCTTGCATTGTAGTAATGTTACTTGTCATAGTTCACATGTTCTGGTTCGATGTGTCCCAATTCACTATAAAACTCGTGCTCATGTACCTTTTTTTTTTACAATCGCAGGAATAAATGTTTGATGTCCTTCAGAGTTGAGACTGCTAAGAAAGCTTTGAATCGACTTCTCGAAGGCAGCTGTGTGAGGTAGGAGTTAGGCGTTTTACGGCAAGACTTCTCCCATGTGTGTCTAACTGATGTTTCTTTTCAATATTGGCTTAATTTTCACTTTCAAATTTCGTTGGAAGTTTCAACTCTCAACTTCAAATCTTGGTAGATCATATTATTTTTTTATGTGTGTTCATTTGCTGGGAGGTTGAACTGATACAAAGGACAGTTTGGTTACAGAATGTGTTTTTTGTTGGATAATAGTCTCTTGTTCTCTCTCTCCTGTAGTGTTTTAAGTTATCTTCCAAGAAACTGAGAATGATGTTTCTATGATTTGGCCCTTCAAAAATAAAATCTTAGATCCCACAATTTGGTTTTATCATCTTACAGTACATTCTTGGCTTTCTATACAATAATGATAAAAATACCTGGGCTCTGTACCGTAATTGAAAATGACAGTGAACTGAATTACTTTAACTTTATTACATGGATCACTGAGGTGTAATTCGATTTATATGTTTAATTTCAATTTCAATTTTCACAAGGTATTTTTATAGTCGTAATTCTTTT